TAAGACATCTTCCATACACTCTTTCTTTAAACCCAACTTCATATTGATAAATTATTTTCATGCTCTGGTGATAATTTCTCATCAACGTTAATGGGTGATCAAACAGAGAAACAGTTCACTTGGGGTTTTTGAAGATGAGAAGTACTACTCTCGTCCCTTTGCGTTGCATTTACTCTCTCCAATCTTTTTAAGAATCCAAAAACAAGTCTTGTACAAAACACTGAGTTTCTTGATGATAAAGCAATCTCTTTGAAGTATGAACAGAGAGGGGCTCTCGAAAAGTCGATTCCAATTTTCATCAGTCTTACAATTAATTAATTGGTAATTATGGCAGAGTATCAAGTCACGAAGGGACTTAAGACTGTTTACATTCCTGCACATTACTCGAGATTCATGCATTTTTATTCATATATATCTCTCTCTGTTTCAGGTTAGGTGCAGGTATAACCTCCTCTAAAGGCATAATTCTCTCGCGACTCTGTAAGGTAAACATATCTTTCATTCGTTCATGTCTCCGATCCTCTTTGTAACAATGAATGTTTCTCTTCTTCCTTCAAGAATTTCAAGTTGCGACATGGTGTCAAACAAGACTTTTTCCTTTATCGTCTCAATAAGAAATTCTTCGTCCTCGAGTGACTTCAACTTGAAATTCTTCAAATATGAAATTGCTCGAATAAGAAATGACTTCTCGATCGAACACCTTCCCTATTTTATTCCAGCTTGTTGCTTCTCTCATTCGAATTTATTTTTGTGTGTGATAATCACTCAAAGGAGTTATTTTCTGATACTTTCTTTCTTTCGAGTCTTGTAGTTTTGATAGGGAAGAATCTTTATTACATCAATGACCAATCAAGTTGGTAAGAAGTTTGCTTGGGTGATAAAGAACTTCTCCTCTTTGCAATCTGAGAGATGTTATTCTGATCCAATCTTAATCGGTGACTGCAAATGGTAATAAGATATGTTATTTTTCAAGTGTTTCAGTTGTTCGATTATTTACATATATATAGGATTTTATCTTCCATGGTTTCAGGCGTCTCTCTGCATATCCCAAGGGAAACAACGTCGATTACTTTTCTCTGTTTCTTGAAGTTGCTGATTTTGAATCATTGCCTGATGGATGGAGAAGATACGTTAATCTTCGGCTTACTATAGTGAAACAGGTTTCAGAGAAACGCTCAGTAGTAAAAGGTGATTCTTACTTCAGCCTCCTAACTAGTTAAGTCCATAAGGGTTATAGTTCAAGCAGTACTTGATTCGATCTTGCTTTACTACAGAAACACATAGCTGGTTTGATCAAGAGAGGTTAGGTTGGGGTTTTCTATATATGCTTCCCCTCGCTAAACTTCACGATGAAAAGGAAGGGTTTCTGGTGAATGGAGAACTCATGATTGCTGCTGACGTACAAGTTCTTGAAGTTATTGGCACAGCAGATGAATCCAAGGAATATGAAGAGGTATCCGAACACCTGAGCGAGACGAAGCTAGATGATGGTCCAGAGTCTTGTGATTTACTCAACAAGACTCAAGAACTGAAGGAAAGCATTGATGTCAATGGGTTTCAAGTTCTTACTTCACAGGTAAAAAACCTTATAGAATGTTGCAAAATTCTTGTTACCTGACAAGAGCGCGCGGTCATGTCTGCGTCTGTTTCCATATCTCCGAAGAGTATTCTCTCATATGCTTTGTTGTACATCTTTTTTCACTTGCAGGTAGAATCTGTGAGACATATATTTGAAAGACATCCAGACATTGCAGCAGATTTTCGTGGAAAGAACCAACATTTGAGGAAAGCATGCATGAGTTTCCTGCTCAGCTTAATAGAAACGTTGTGCCAGTCGCTTCAAGAGCTCTCCGTTGAAGATCTTGTGGAAGCAGATATTGTGTTGACATACGTGAAAGATGCAGGATTTAAGGTGGATTGGTTGGAGAAGAAGCTAGAGCTAGTAATAGAAAAAAAGGAGAAAGAGAAGAAGAGTTTGGCTCGGCTACAAGAAATGGAGGATAGTATACTGAAACTGAAGCAAAAATGTTTAGACCTGGATGCTCTTGTGGAGAAGGAGGAGGCAGAGTTGTCGGACACCAGAACTCCTCTGTCATTCGATGATGTTGTTTGATCTCTTGAGTTCTTAGGAATTTGATGTTCTGATATCTTGGTTACTCTCTTGGTTTCAATAATATCTTTTAAGGTGGATGACTGTACTGATGCATTTTGTGAAAGAAGTATAGTTTGCCGCTATGGTCTGTTGGAGTTTTGTCTACCAAATTTGCTGTAACTCTGAGCGTCTTGGCGAAATGCTTGTGCCTGAAACACTGATCTTGGAGAGTTATTAGGAACTTGGAGTTCATTGACTAGGTTTTGAAATGAGAATCCTCGTATGTAGAAACATTTGTGACACATTGATATGAATCTTGATGATAAAGTACATAGTATAAGTTTGGTTTGGTAATAAAGGAACTTCTCCTCTATGCAATGTGAGGTATGTTAGTTCTGTACCAGACTGGTGATAAAGAACTGGAAATGTGTGTACTTGGCCATGCTCCAAGAAACAGAGGAACAGAGTCCTCTGTTTTCAATTGTGATACGTAACTAAACATTTCCAATTTCTTCCTTCTCTGTCTTCTAATTCGTTCTTCCTATGTTAAACACAAAGAGGAAAATATAAAGCAGATATTAGAATGTTTAGTGAACATATTAAATAGTCTTCGTTGGATTAATTTCTCTCAATTAAAAAAAAAAAAAAGTAGAGTTAATAACAGTGTCTCTCTCAAACCGTCAAACGACTTTACATGGTTAATCGTAACTTGTTATGGGGAATTATAGACCATTCAAATGATTTAGTTACTTGTGTATATCCTTACATGCACCAATACTAACTCTTGCTCAGTTCATGTTCT